GAATTACACCCTAGAAGGAGTTTGTCAAAGCCTTCCTTTCGCCCTCGCTTTCCTTCATCTCATGCATCTGGGGAAGGAAGCGAAGCTGTTTAAGTAAGAGTTAGCGCCTATGGAAAAGAGATTTTAATCGCTTTGTGGCGGGATAAGCTGTGATCTTATTCCTAACTTGGGATATTAAGTAAAATAACATCACTCATTGGCAAAGCATGAATTAGACTTCGAGTTGTGGCTTCTTGTTCATCTTTCACTATCTGACCTTTCATTTCAGGTTCTCTTCTCTTAGTCTTCCATGGCCCATTCCTCTAGAAATGACTTTTTAATAACCTAATAAGAGATTTATTACGCGCATCATCGCATAATCTATTTTCTTGGAAGGAATTAGCTAACTAGCCTAGCTGACAAGGCATGGCATGAATGGCGGGATGCTAACTCGATTCACCCTTGCCTCTACGGGATTACGCCTAATCAATTACTGTTAGGATAAGCGAAATCGAAGAGGTTAGTTAGAAGGTAAGGCACGGAGTGATTAACTAGTTGCGGGGTCTTTTGTATCATGGGCCATAGCTACTTGGGTAGAGACCGCTGAACATCATTTGGGCAGGCCTAAGCCCATATAGATTCTGGGTAGCCCCATAGAAAACTAGTATACAAGTAGGCCACATCGCTGTAAGCATCAGCCCCAGGCAATCTTTCTGGTGTGGGTAGTGGTTCATTGGAAACTATTTCAGGTTCCGGCTCATCAACCTGAAGAATGGTTTAATATACTTCATGGAAAAAGGATAGCATAAAAGAAAGAAGATATGGCTTTGCAAGAGACATGATATGTTTGAGAAGGGATAAGGTACGTAAGTCAGTCGCCTTAATTCCTACAGTGCGAGAGGTACGAAGTAAGTCGAGTGAAAGAAGAGGGGTCTGGCTTTGATAGGGCTGAAAGCTTTGTCAATCGGGTAGCAGAAAGAGGTTGGTCCACAGGTACCTGCCATAGCTTTCATCCGGGGGAGCCTACCTGCCCAGTCATGTCGGTATAGAAGTGTCATAGAGATGACTACTGATAGTTGAAGTAAGGAGTCTGAACCTTCATCTTCTGACCCCAACTCCAAGCATTAGTCGATTAGCAGGGTTTCAGTGTTGAGTTTACATACTGGGTCTCCGAGCTGAAGAAGGTCTCCGAAAGCCCTCTTTCCTGCTTCGAGTAGAACCTATTTTCAGTCTAATGCCACATCTGACTCAACAGCTCCTTCTTCCTCTCCTCTGAGAACTCTACTTTGATTCCAGCCTCAACTACTGGTGTGTCTTCTGCTTCCCTAGTGGCATCTTCACTCATGACAGACTCAAGCATCGAGTCTTCATCGTTGTCACAGGCTACGGCTTTGCCGTCCTACACCACTGCATCAGGTTCGTTGTCCTTTGTTCACCCCGAAACCATTGTTGCTCGGTTCTCCTTTTTCAAATGGGAAGGCTTCCCGGACAGGGCCCTTCTTCTCTTCTTCTTGTGAGCTAGTAGCACTTTTATCAGTTTAGATAGTTAGAGAGTCTTCCATTGAAATGAAAGTTTAAAAAGGCAAGCTGGGGAAGACAAGTTAGTGCTCTCCTCTTCTGGCTAGTTAGTTTGAAAGCAGCAGTCCTTTACTTAGGCAAGCTAGCCAGTTAAGTTATATGAGTAATTGAGTAATAAAGGAAGAATTACACTCGAACAAATGTGAGAGGTTATGTAATAGGGTAGGCAGGAATTGTCATTTGAGTGCTTTACGAAGGGTCTTTTTAATTCCTTCAACAACTCAAGCAACGCTCATAGAGTCTTGTTGAGCAGCTGAATAGCCTTCTCCTATCTTAATTGAATAGTTTCCCCTTCGTAATATCTTTACTCAAAAGAAAAGAGCTCCCACCGCCGATTGTAGATTGAAGTGAGTACCTCCTCTTGTCGACTCTGAACGAATGCTAGCATGGTACGGGGCAGTCAGATTCTATTCCCTCTCAGAGGCCATAAAATTAGAGTCCTCGGGGAAGCCTTCTCTATTCACTTCTTACCCGAAAAGAGGGAATCGAAGCACTATAGCTCCGCTCAAACGACCCTTTATTCGGGGTTCACATGTGCTTTTCGATACTGTACGGGTGACTTAACACCAACCAAGTTCAAGTTTTTCAACCCTTAGCACTAATATGTACTAAGGCTAAGGAGAAAGAAAGTGATTTGTTGCATCTTTTCTTATCTTGAAAAAGTCTTAAAAAGAAGAGATTTCTCTGTTATGTTAAATTAACGAGTTTGCTTCTTTATTCTTAGTTTACTCTTAGTAGATTCATTGAATAACTTCTAGTCTTTTTCTATTCTATTTTTATATAAAAGAGTTCCAAGTACCATAGCATTGCTAGTTCAGACTAAGATTATAAAACCTTCAATATAGTTGAATCGTTAGATGAATGTTCCCGGTATTGACAATCTTTCATAGGAAGAGCTGTCATCTCTATCTTCCATCATCCATTCCCTGTAATCTGTCCTAGGATCCAAGGCACTAATGCTAAGGCTCAGATTCATACCCAGAAGAGACTAGACTGCTATTAAGCGGTTAAGGTAGAAGATCTCAAATCATTAGCTTCGGTGAACAAGATCAAATAGCTCCTCTTTCAGGTTATAAACTAGAACTTGTACGAGGTATCAAATGTATCAACACTTGATTTCACCAAAAAAATATGTATAGTTGTAGATTCCGCGAATCTTTTATGTTCTACCCAATAGGCCCCGCTTGCCCAAGCCCAAAGGCCAGTTTGAAGAAGGTCCGTGAAAAGTAAACGAAACTGTCGTGTTCTAAGGGCGGGGACAGGCTAGGAAATTAACCCCGGAGAACCAAGGAATGGAAGCAGAAGAAGCATTATAAGATGACGGCTTTACTCATCCTTGGTTGCTGCCTCGTCGCCGAAGCGAGTAGAGAGAACATAAGAGTATATCACACTCACTTCATCTAGAAAACCTATAACTCTTGAGTGAGTTCGCAGTCAATCTTGCTTTCGATTCAACAATACGAACCAAAGAAAACAATTAGGATGAAAAGATTCTTTGGCAAAGGAGTTTTTTCCCTCTACTCTTCCTTTGGTTATATACCAAATCACCTACCTGTATCAGTTGATTCTCCTTCTTCCTTTCTTATTTGATGATTCAGCCCTGGTTGATAGTTTGTTTCAGTTGAAGGGAGGTTTGTAAATAAAACTTTTGTCGTGTATTCCTGATAAGAAGAATTGTGTTATGCCCCCCGATCCCTAGAGAGCGAAAGAGCTGCCTGGTGATCCTTAGGTTGCAGCACGTTCGGTCGTGAACTCCTCGCGCCGCTGCCGCCGTTTCTAGGACCGACCGACGCCTCACCTGTACAGGTACCTACCTAGTGTCGGTCGCACATTCAACATAGCGTTCGGACTCATGTGCCTTTCAGAACCAGGGGTCTTCGAGCCTGCTGCGTACGATTAGCCAGCCTTACGGCGGCAAAAGGATTCTAAGCCCCCCCCATGCTACGGTTCCATGTGGTCCGAACCCGGTGCCGCATTAGGTTAGGGAACTGGGCGATAATAGCTCCTGCGCATCCCAAAGCGCGCTGCCCTCCTAGGCACACAACGACTTAGATGGCATGTTAGGCTTTATTGAAGCATATATAGTATGTCCGAAAACTATCAAGAAGCCCTTTCTACCCTATCGAGAGAAGGAGGGTACTCTCATCTTTCCAACAGGAGAATTTGTAGGTGTATACTATAGCGAAGAATTGAAGTTTGCTAGAGAGATTAGCTACACAGTGATTCCAATCTCAGTCTACCTCTTTGATAAGAAGGAAAGCCCATTCAGGGAGTTTGTAAGCGCTATCTTTTCAAGAAGGTTAGAAGCTAAAAAGTCAGGGAATGATGATTTGTCTTATGTGTATAAGATCCTTATGAATTTGCTATATGGTAGATTCGGAATTAACCCTAAGGGCACAATAACCGAGATCTGCGATAACGAAAGACGCAAACTTTTAATAAGAAAGACTAATTTGATATCTACTGATGAGCTTAGCGATTCCAAATACATCATTACCTATCATAGCAATACCGAGACATATTATTGGGATCCACCGAAGAACTCTGCTGTCCAACTTGCTGCTGCAATCACAGCATATGCTAGGATCTATATGTACCCCTACACCTCGAGAGAGGACTGTTACTACACGGACAATGACTCTGTTGTGCTAAGTAAGCCGTCTGATCGGCTCCCACCCCGGTTACAACATTCCTTTCATAGAAGCAATGCTGCAGAAAAAGAAGATTTGTTGCAATGTAGCTCCATAAGAACCATAAATAGAAATAGTTGAAATATTAGCAGAAATAGAGATTTTAGGCGCAATAGAAAGGAATGCTGTAACCAGGGTGGGTGAACCCTCATAGATATCAGGTGCCCACATATATAGAGTCAAAAGAGATATGGAATACGAAGGGGAGGGGGGTTTTCTTCGGGGCTCGAGAGATGGAATAGATAGGGCCCCACAAGTTTTGAATTCGCCGCTGGTCTATCGAGAGGGAACGAGGAATTGTCAACGAAAAAAGTGCTCTCTGAACCGAACGTGAAAGTCGTTTTCCATCAGACGGCTGTTCCCGTAACTCTACTCTCGACTTGGATTATATATCCAATAAGGTCCGCTCTCGGCCATTCCACACGCTGCCTAGCAGAGGCGTGGTTATCTGAAGTGGATTCTCTCTTTTGTAGTAGATGCCGAACCTGCTGCCCCATTGACTAAGAAGGGGGCGGGCGCAGCAGCTACATGGACCCCTTCCTTTCTGTTGTTGCCAGCGCTTTCCCGGGCCGAGCCATAATTCTTTATTAGAAAGGGCAGGCAAAGCCCGAAGGCTGCTATCCCAATAGGCCAGCGAGGAGAGGGCCCGACAATCATACCACCCCACGGTCGAAAAAGTGTGTTCCCTTCAGATAAGACGCACCGTAGGCCATCCTTGTCCTTCTTCGTTTTCGATGAAAAAGAAAATTCCATTTTGTGCTCGATCTCTTTTGTCATGCATCATGGCTGGGTGAGTTGTCCCATTGCGAATGAACCTCTGTGCTTCCAATCTGGTCATGCACTTCTTTAAGATGTGGAACCTGGGAGCTTTCCTCTTATAAATAAATAGGGCTAAATCTTTCGTAGGGGGTAAGGATGGTGCCGAGGTCTTAATAGATAGGGGTTGATAGTCCCGTCTGCTAGGCTTTTCCGAACTTCCCTTTGCCTTTCTCTCTCTTAGTTAAAGGGTTTCAGAGAATCATCCGAACGAGATACGGTTGTCAAATGGGGGAAGAGGAACGAGAGGCGTCCCTAAGCTTTCCGGCTCACTAGTAGGTGACGAGGGTATTAAAAAAAAGGGCTCATTTCACCTGCCCATGCATTCGTTCGGATTCTTCCTTCTTTACCTTTTCAACCCACCCTTACTAGCTAATAGGGCTTACTAAAAAAGCGAATTTCCCTCTTCCTGGTAATGAATTAAGCGGCAGCGAGGAGGTCCGGTTCCATAGCGATTTCGTCTGCTTTTGGAACTTACATTCCTAGGGACAAAGAAAGTGACTTCGGACTTTTGAATTCTCAGAACTTCCTTCGAATTCAAGAACTTGAGAGGATCTCACAGGCATCTCTCTTCGAGCGGCAGTGCAAGCTCGGATGGTGTTAGCGCTGGCAGAAAGTCCTGGATTAGTTTGTACCGGTGTAGGTCCCTGAGTGGTGACTTGTCCCCCTTGATGTTGTGGCATTGGATTAGTCTAGATCCCCAGTATCTTCAGTGACATTGGCGGCTTTAAGGTATGCCTTAACTTCGTTCCAATTGATAAGATTTTCATCTAGATGACATCACGCAAAGTATGACACTCTTCGATGGTACGGCCTGCGTATCGGTGAAATGGAAAGAACTTTGAATAGTCGAGACCAGGAGGCCAGGGGAGTGGTTGATCACTGGGCAGAGAAAGGGTTTTACAGGTCAGAAGGATGGAGAATAGGGTAGGAATAGGTAGGGCTAATGGCGGGTAGTGAGCTCTATTGGGTCCCCAGGGTCGCTTGGGAGCACCTTGTTGCTGATGAGGATCATAATTGGCCGGAGGCGCAGCGTTGTTATAAGCGGGTCTGGGCGGAGCTTGCGCTGGGTTTTTCGGTTGCGATTGGGTAGGAGGGTTTTTAGGTTGTTAAGTGGGGGGCAGCCCCAGCCCCCTGGATGGCTTGCTGATTCCGGGTGCTCTGTTCTCTCTGTGCATTTAGTTGTGCTTGAACCGCGTACTTGGAGCTGGACTCTTCCCAAAGAGACGACGACCTTCTTCCCGTTGCTCTATCTCATTGTTCCCCCTGATCACTCTGGCGAGCCTGTGCTCATCGGCCATCCCTTCGGGTTCTTCAGTTTCTAACACTGCAAACTGAGAGCCCTATTGCTTATTGCCATCATGTTCTCGCTCACCTCCGTGAATTCCCCCTCTCTGATTTCAATTTATCACTCCGCGTCGTCCCCTTTTCTGACCTATCATCCAAGGACCCTATTTTCATGAAGGTTTATTTACTACAAAATTTTGCTTCTCTTGCTCTGTATCAGTTCTCATAGCATCATTATTGTCCTTCCCTGCACTCGTGTCGGTTTGATTTCAGTCCGTTGTAAACATGACTCGGATCTGTGACCGAATTTACCGCATTAAAAAGAAATAAAATGGATAAATACTCAATTCTCTGAGTTCTTTTCCCTAATCTACTTAAGGAACTGGCGCTGAGCCCTAGTGAAGAGGTACCTCCATACTGAACACCAACTCACACCGAATAGCCTTTGTTGTATCGTCACTTTCGGATCAACATCCGGAAGAGGCTTTTTTGCGCTCATCTCCTTCTCTTCAGGGGTATGTAACTCCAAGCCATCAACATTTGGTTTGGGAAAACTACATACCTTGATGCTAACCTATAAACTCCTTAAACCACCTCTTAAAGTGAACGTGAGTAGGATCTTTAAGTTTCAGAGAGGGCTGCTATTGCCTCTCCTTCACAAGCCCGATTCCGATGGTTATGGTTACAGCAACAGTGAACCTTCCGGGTCTTGACTAGGAGGCTCTGCAAAGACGCTTCTTTGGTGTTATTCCTACAGATGAAAACCAACTAGCCAACCAGAAAAAAAGGCTTCTGCCTCGGAACTCAAGCTGGTTCTATTCCGGACAAGAAAGCAAAGTCGGGGACCTAGGTGGGAGGAACTGACTTGACTGGTCAAATTCCGGTACTTAGTCATTCTACTGACAAAGAGAGGGCACCAAATGCCTAAACAAGATAAGAACCAACTATATGCTTAACACAAACTTTCTGGTCCTCCCTCTAGCACACGGGGATCGGCCCTACGCACCGGGGACGAAGCGTAGAGGTCACTTTAGCTTGTTGTACCGGAGTTGTTCATCGTCAAAAGAACAACAATGGCTTGTAGCATTTCCTATTGATTTGTCTAGGGGATGGAATGTAAAAGAAGGCTTTATCGTCTAAAGGCAGGGGTGAGCTTTCTCACTATAGCTCGCTCTTCTTTTATCCCGCCTGCTTTCTTATCCCTGTTCCGTAAATTTCGTACGTAGACAGTTAGTTGCTCTGACTAGTTTTTTAGTGCAAAAAAGGACCAACGACGATCCTATCCTAAAGGAGAAGAAGGAGTAGGAGCAGAGCGGAGAATCTTTTTTGATTCCAGCCGAGAAGACTAGTAAAAGGAAGGATCAAGAATGTTATATATTTCAGGAGCTAGATCAGTTGCCGATGAACAAGTCAGAATTGCCTCAACAAAAATAGATGGAATTGGGCCTAAAAAAGCCAGTCTGGTTCGTTATCGATTAGGTATCAGTGGGAACATAAAGATAAAATAATTAACTAAGTATCAGATCGACCAAATTGAACAAATGATAGGTCAAGATCATGTTGTTCATTGGGAAGTGAAGAGGGGAGAACGAGCAGACATCGAACGATTAATTTCTATTTCTTGTTATCGTGGAATTCGTCATCAAGATGGATCACCCTTACGCGGTCAACGAACTCATACTAATGCTAGGACTTGTCGCAAGCAAATTTGGAAATGAAAGAAGTCTACCGAAAGCCTTGGTACTTGTCTGATCAATCACACTGTTCAATAGTTCACTTCAATTTTGATTAGGGGATTTCACCAGTTACTAATCCAGTATCGGTATAGTAGGCCTCCTTGGCCACGTATAGAATCTTCTTGTCTTCATCATAGGCTCTTTCCCCTCATTACACCGATATAAATCTAGGGATACTGCATCTGCCTCTAGTTCATATTCCATCGGGTAATCACGCAGAAGAGCCCTTAACATATTTAAATATACTTTTTTTCTAAACACAACAAGATAAGGCAATATGAAAATCACACTTCAAATTTTAGGTAATAATTGTTAAAAAATGACAGTCACTTACCATTAATCCTCACGAATAGCATGGGGACAATGAGTCTGTTGTGTCGATCCCACACGACCCTTTTTCCACCAGCAGCAAGAACGAGTTAATCGAACTCATCTCCTGGTACACAATACCCTTCTATTTCTCTTAAGTCCTTACGGATTGAGGGTTGATAATTTTTATGGTCGGGTCATTGACCATCCTTGACGTGTCACCAAAGACCATCACTTGGGGTATGAAGTTTCGACTCACCCAAAAGAACTCTTGTTTCCATTTCCTATATGGTATTTTTGGATTTTCTGCAATTTGTCTCTCTTTATCGCGGTTGTAGAAAATATACCAATCTTCACTAGAAGATAACCTGTAGAAAATACGGAATAAGGGAACGGAAGGGTCAACCTTTTTTTCCTTACACATGAGTTCAAATGCCACACTTTTGAACATCACATTTGGCTTTAGTTGGCTTATGTGTATAAAATAGTGAGATAATAAATCTTCCAGAAACTTGGAGATTGGGAAGCGAATGCCTGCCTCCATAGTTTTGACATAAATACCCACTTTATCTGGAGGTGGATCCTTGATATGCCGAGTAGGACTAGGTAGAAGAACTCCATCCAACGGATGCAATCCATATTGGCTAGCCACCCTTTCTAAACTAGCTTGCGAAATAGTTGAGAATATGTATTCTATTCCAAGTCCACGAGCCATTTTCTCACTACTCATGTTTTGCTAGATATTTGGTAAGTGTGATATGTCGAGTAGGCTCTTTTTATACATGTTATATTGTGATATGTGTTTCTCTGCAATGCAAAGACTCACTTGACATCGACGTATGCATGCCACTTTTTCCAATGACATTATTGTCTATATTATTGATATTGACACATGCATGCAAATATTCCCTCTGACATCGACCTATGCATGCCACTTTTTCTAATTAACATTGACCTATGCATGTCAAGATTCTTTTATCACACATACCTCTTGGCTTTATATGGCACACTTATACTAGGCTTCTTGTTCAAACTAAACGTATATGGTTTGTTTTTCGGAAATATGTATGGATTTTGGAGTGAAAATGCGGGGCACATTACATATTATTAACTGTGAACTGAAATGTGTACTACTCTAATCATATCACTTCATACTGGAGGCTGACAATAGGAATAAGTTAGAGTTCTGACGAATAGAAGTGATAGACAAAAATGACGGACAGAATTACAGACATAAATGACAGACAGAAGTGACAGACAGAAATGACGGACATAAGTGACGGACAGAAATACATGGCCCAAAATGCGTGACCAAAAATACATAACTCACCTAAAATGCATGACCCTCATATTTACTTCTATATTTAATTGTGTCACGCTCATGCACATACAATATGAATATATATATATATATATATATATATATATATATATATATATATATATATATATATATATATATATATATATATATATATATATATATATATATATATATATATATATATATATTATTGTTACTTGTCGATCAGAACGTGTTGGTTGAGCATATCAGAATATCTTGAGCTAAAAGATGATCACGATTCAAATTGATGAACATATTCA